CGACAAAGCGAAGATCGTCAACGTCGGCCAATATCTTCGGATCCAAGCAAAGGAATCAGTGGAACTACCATTGCGCCTGCGGTCGTTGATCCACGACAAGCTGTGGGTCACGCGTGGAGATCAATGGGTGCCGACAATATCCAGTGGACCAGGGCGGACAAAATACATCTTGATCACCAATATTGGAGACGAGGTGTTGACCCTGCACCAAGACCACTGCATCAGGACCAACGGATCGGGATCTGGCTGGCTGGGGACCATGTGCCGCGGATACCGGGTTTTATCTCGATCGGCTCTCGTCGTTACATGGAGTGGCAGAATCTAGCGTTGGAAGCTACGACAGACATCAGATCCGAAGAAATGGAGGTCAAGGACCCGCTAGCGCCCGCGGTGGAGCGGCCCGAGTATGAAACTCCGCGAGCAATGCAATACTCCAAAGACCGAAGGCAACGTTGATCCAGCGTCGGAAGGGCGAGGTGAGTCAGGATCAAGATATTCCTGACTGCCCACCCTCAGACGAGTCGCCGTCGGATAAGTCGCCGCCGAACAACTCGCCGTCGGAGATGCGACCGTTGGATCTAGCGTCTGTCGCGAGTGAGGAGTCAGATCTGTCATCTATCGCAGACGGAGACTCTATATCGCAAGCCGTAACGGTCAAGGAGGCGCTAGAAGATCTCGATCAAGTGACGCCGGACATATGGGTGATTAATCCGCTGGTGGGGAAAACTACAGACATGGGAAGGATGCGAGAGGAAGATGACCGAGATGAAACCGAGGATGTCAATCTGGATCAATTACAATTGAGAGGCCAAAATCAAGGAACATCGCCGTCGAAAGGCGGTGGATCGGATCTGCCATCACTGATGAGTGTACAATCTGGGACAGGACATATGACCGGTGATCCACTGAACGACAAGTGCGCCACATCTATGTCTCAAAAAAACGGACATGGATCCATCAACTGGTGTTGAAGATCAACCAGGCACATCGGATCTGGACCTTACCTGGGACTCAGATCAAGATTATGATGAATGTGTGTATTACCATGAAGGAAGTGATCTGTACGCCGAAGACGTCGATGGTCAGATGGCGGTACTGCCGGAAGTGCCTGTGACGACGGAGGATGTGAAGATCGAAGACATTCAGCTTTGTGGATCTGATAATCAGACTCCAGAAGAAATTGACCGACTTCGCCAAAGGATCTTGAAGTTCCGACATCTCTTGATCGGCAAGGGAAATGCCCTTCCACCAGCGGCTAGAGGTGTGGTGTGTGATATCGACGTCGGGGGAGCGAGACCTATCGCCCTCAAGTGCTGCAAGTTGCAGATCCAGTTCAGGGAGAAGCTGGCAGATCTGATCAAGGGTTTATTGTCCGCCAAGATGATCAACTACTCCAGATA